TCACCACTCATTTACCGCAACTTTGATTATTTTCTCGTCCAGCAATATTTAAATATCTCCATCAACCACAATTTGCTGCTTTGCACCAAACTTCTGTTTTTATGGTATGTTTTTTTTTTTTAGATTCTTTTTTGGTAATGACACATTCTTTAAGTCACATTCTCCGACTCTTGGAACGTCCTCTTCCTCTGCCTGTTTAGATGCCGACAAGTGTAATGGCTGTGTTTACATATTGTAAATCTTTTTTGTGGCATTGTCATACACAGATGGGGATATTTCTGCTTGATGTTTGGTTTCAAGACTAGCATCGATACAATTTGAGCAAGCAATTTGCCTGACAATTGAAAGCAAGTACATCTGTGCCCGTGCTTAAATTTCAGCTGCAAACTTTTCACATGGGCAGACTTCATTGTTTGAGGTTTTTATTTATTGTTGTAGTGTAAGGATAATAGTTAACTCTGAACTGCAGCTTTCTGGAACATCGCATTTTGCCTGCCATTAAACAAACTCACACTGGCTTTGAAGTTTGACACATTTGATTCTTATTTGGGGGGAGTGTTTATTGACAACTCTTCATTAACAACTCAATTTTTCTTTAATCTGACTTCGATTGACTAACATGGCGCCCAGTTTGTTCCAGCGTTTCTTTCCTACTTCTTTGATTTACACCTGTATCTGTTCAAATTTCCTTCTTGGCAGCATTTTCCTTGACTTTGCTGTCTACACGTGTAGTAGAAGCAGCAAATTTATAAAAGTTGTGGGAAATTAAAAAAAAGAAAGTCATAAACGTTGGGTCGAAAGTGGGTGTTAGAATGGTGATTTAATTTAGAGGGAAGTCCAAAAAAAGTATTGCTAATGAAAAAGGTTGGTTGAAAGCCAAACAATTTAGTTTTTCATAGTGAAGTCAAAAATATAAATTTGACCAATAATGACAAAAATTTGCTAAAAAAAAGAAAGTAATGATTTCGTCATAAAAGGATCAAATCGGATAGAACTCATTGCAAGGTATATGTCAAAGCAATCGATCAGCCTTGTAGTTTTTGAAAATAAAATTGTTGACAGATGACCTATATATGAATAGCTCTGGATCTAAAACGTTAGATTAATACACTTACTAGGGATAGAAAAGTTGGATGGTATGTTCAATAGCTTTAAGCTCGTTTCACTACAATTTGATGTGTAGTACTCAATACTGTGGATCACCTATAAATTGGTTTATTTGTGTAAATTAGGTAATTAGTAAGCACAAAATTTAACCCTAAACTAAACAGGTATATAGATTATCCATAAGCATCTATGTACCAAGCTTCATTTAATCAGAGTGGAAAAGTTAAATATATGCAAATTATTATGTAAATTTGACCTCAGAGCATCTAGGTACTAAGTGTCATTAAAAAAGTGATAATTGGTTCTTGAGGTATCAGTGG